AGTTGATGGAACTGAAAAAATGTATACAGAGCTGATTAAGATGAGGAGACAGATGGCCTTAAGTAAGGAATGGGGCCGGATGTCTCATTTCAGCTATGAGCAGCAATGATAATAAGGCCTTCCGGTCCATTGTTATCATTACTATTACTCCAGATTTTAAAATTTCATACTGTATTGCCCCCTTGACATGGGAAAACCATGTCAAGAGGCTATTTTCTGATGCTAATGCACCTAGTTTGTCTTTGACTATTATTTCTCTTGATCTAATAGCACCTTGGCCTGAAGTATCAATTAATGAAGTTATATGCCTTCTTAATGGATTAAAATTAGGAAAACCCCTTGGCTCTGATCTAATTTCCAATGAGTTATTCAAGGCTGATCCACAATGGTGGGCCACAGTCTTGGCTCCAGTTTTTACACAAATTAATTCCAGTGGGTAAATGCTTGATCCATGGAGACATTCTGTTATTGTCCCAATATTTAAGAAAGAGTAAAAACTGGACCCATCCTGCTATTGACCAATTAGCCTCCTTTCCTCTTTGGAAAGTTATATTCTGCTTATCTACTCAAGAAACTTTTGGATTGGATGGAATTGTCCCAGATTGTGGAATACTCAGACTCTGTAATTGCAGCAGCAGCAGTAAAATTGACTATGGCCCCAGTCACACGGGCCGGATATCATGGGAGGGGAGGCATGGCTAATTGCCCTGGAGGAAACTAACGCGCGGCCGCCTGAGCACATGTCCCGGTCGAGGTCCCATGGTTAGGGAGGAAATGCCGACCAGACGGGTATCCTGCAGCGCGACACAGGAGCCGCGCCGTGCGATTGCACTAGCAATCGCTCTTTGTGCGCATGCACTGTTGGGTGCTGTTGCGCAACCTGCAGAGACTTGGGAGACAAAAAAAAAACCCTTGTGGGCGACGAACAGCAGCGGGCGCCGGATGCCACGTAAGTCCACCAGAAACGCGATCAGACGCCCGCCCTTGCCTCGCGGCTTCCGGAAACTAGTACCTCAGAGGTACTAGTTTTTTACTCCGCATCTTCGGTGGGAAGCCTCGGGTTAGCCACAGGAGCTCTACGCTTCCCAGATGTTGCGGTGTGATCGCGCCCGGAAAATCCGCTTACCATCCATATCGTCAGCGCGGCAAATGCTCTGTGTGACCGCAGCCTATGTGAATCATATTTTGCTTGATTGTCCCAAATTTTCAGCTCTAAGAGATGAACTGATCTCCCCTTTATTTAATCAGGACTTCCTCTCTCCAGAAGCAAAATCATCTGGGTTACTTAGAGACAAAGACAAACAAACTACTCTTCATGTGGCAAAATTTCTAGCAGCTGTTGTCAAATCACATGACAACTTTTGCAGTAGCAACCTTTAACTCTTCCATGTTTTCCTGTTGAACGAAGTTTATCGTGGAGTGAGGGTTTGCTGTTTGTGACTCCAGTTGCAAAAACAGTAAAGACAATAAGATAAGATTATGAAATGAACTTAAACTACTGTGGACAAAAGTCTCCTAGAACTTATTCAGGTTTTACATTTGGGCTCAACTGCTCAAGTACTCTGGGGGTATGAAGAAATTTATTTACCTTAGAAAAGAGGGTATGCCAGGGATATTTGCTGGTGCCTTTTTTATTCAATTTATAGCTAAATTATTAGGATCAATCTTTGATGACTGCTGCCACCCACTGGAACTGGCTGAGACCTGTGTCCCTGTACTGATTTACGCAGATGATGCTGTAATTTTGTCTCAAACCAGGGTTAATCTCCAAAGGGCTTCAGTTACTGTTCCTGAGAGAGCTTGGGGATTATTTGTCTGAAGTCTAAGATCTTGATTTTTACCAAGACAAGCATATGGAACCTGCTTCAATGGTCAATAAATGGGTCCAATATTTTTTTTTTTTGTACAACCTCCTATTTGGGAATCCTGAACAGTGGATATTCAACAATTATCAAACATTGTTTGGTGAATCAGAATGTTAACAACTGGTGGTCAGTTACAAAATATAATACAAGTATACTATATAAGTGGCTATGTACCTTAAATTCAAATACAAAAGATAAATAACAAAGAATCCTTCATATTGTCCTAGTGTACTGATTGGTGTCTTACAGTAGTTGGGAGCCAATCTCAATGTAAATTGAAAATAATCTTTGGTATAATAAAATCGATTACCATAGATGTAAAGCATCTATTTCTTTAGGAGTGTCATCAAATTGATTTAAATATTCTAGAATAGGGAACCAGGTGGCTACAAGGGAAGAAGTCGTAGGAATTTTGTCAAGTCGCGTAAGGTTATCCGAGAGTTTTGCCATAATATATAAATCCCACAGTTTCTTATGCCATTGTGAAACTGAAGGCGTCATTGCAGTTTTCCAGTGAGATGCAATGACTGTCTTAGCTGCAAAGAGCAGTATGGAGACCCTCTCCACCACTGAAGGAGCAGAGTCCTGAGCTACCCAACCGTTCAAAAAAAGATTTTCTGGAGTAGGTGTGATGTCAATGTTGTTAAAGGATCTGATTTTTGTTATAATTTTTTCCCAAAATGCAAGTATTTTCGGGCAAGTCAACCAACAGTGAAGATAGGTACCTGTGTACATTTGGGCTCAACTGCTCAAGTACTCTGGGGGTATGAAGAAATTTATTTACCTTAGAAAAGAGGGTATGCCAGGGATATTTGCTGGTGCCTTTTTTATTCAATTTATAGCTAAATTATTAGGATCAATCTTTGATGACTGCTGCCACCCACTGGAACTGGCTGAGACCTGTGTCCCTGTACTGATTTACGCAGATGATGCTGTAATTTTGTCTCAAACCAGGGTTAATCTCCAAAGGGCTTCAGTTACTGTTCCTGAGAGAGCTTGGTGATTATTTGTCTGAAGTCAAAGATCTTGATTTTTACCAAGACAAGCATATGGAACCTGCTTCAATGGTCAATAAATGGGTCCAATATTGAGCGGGTTAAAACCTCCTCCTATTTGGGAATCCTGTTCCTGGAAGATTTACCTTGAATCACCCAACTTAGAACAGTATGAAATGCTATAAATAGGTTTCTCCATAATTCCTGGAGTTGTGCAAGCCATCAAGTTGAAAGTGGTCCCCCTTATTCTTTATGGCTCAGCAATTTGCATCAAAGCTATCTCTGATAAAATTGATCAATCCCTGGCACAGTTTTTAAGAAAAATACTGAATATTCCCTGTTGTGTATCAAATGTTGTGTTGCAGGCAGAATTTGGACAAACACCCCTGGAAGCAAGAGTATGGTTCTTTGCCTTCAAACTGAGACTAGAATTGTTCTGTGCTGAAGATGGCTTGCTAGCCATTCTGAAACAGGATACCCACAAATCGATTTGGATGAAAGCCCTGGATGGGAAATTGATGTTAGTTGCAATGTCGGCTCATCATATTTCTGATATGGGCAAATCCAAAATGTTTTCTTTTATCAAAAAGCATGTCTTATAAACTGATTACACAGTTTTATCTTAAGATCCCATGAAGTTTGCTCACCCCTGTCTTTTAGTCTCTTTTCCCCAAAATCTTTACTCCCCCCCCGATACTGCAGAGTTTTCTTATTCACAAGATTGGATATTATACCCTCAATGCTTCTGCAGGGGAGATTTCTGAACAGGCCTTATTCCAATAGAATCTGCCCTTAAGGACTTAATGAGATTGACACATCTTTTTATGCTTTGCTTGAATGCAGGTTTTTTGAGAATATAAGGGATCATTATATTAAGCCTCTAATTGATCAATCACTTATAACCTGGAAACTCAGGCTCCTTTACTTTGTGATAAGAATCCTAAGAGCACTCTGCCAATAGCAAAATTCATTGCAGTCCGTTTAGCCCTTGTGTCCAAAAAATGAGGAATAGGAATCTTCTGCTGCTCAAGATTTGTTAATCAATGAGCTTTTAAGGGAATAAAAGGTAAAGGTAAAAGGAACTGGGAACCAACTTCAGCCTCCTGAATGAGGCCTGGATTTTGTCCATGGCAGATTTTTAGAGTAACTTAACCAAGGCCCCGGTCACACAGAGCATTAGGCACGCTAGAGAGATGGAAGATAGGCAGATTTTCTGGGCACGATCTCACCGCCACATCTGGGAAGCGTAGAGCTTCCGTGGCTGACCCGAGGCTTCACTCCGAAGATGCGCAGTAAAAAACTAGTTCCTCCGAGGTACTAGTTTCCAGAAATCGTGGGGCAAGGGCGGGCATCAGATCACGTTTACGGTGTTAGCTCGTGGCATCTGGCGCCCGCCCATGTCCCGTCACGAAAAGTTTTTTTGGTCAAGTCTCCACGGGTGCGCACAAGCACCCAACGGTGCGTGTGAACACTTGGGTTAAAAAAAACCCACAACCCCCGCGGCGGCGCTTCTTTGCCGTGCTGCAGGAGTGAGGTATGATCTACACCTCCCCCCAACCACGGGACGTCGGCGGGACGTCGGGTGGGACATTTGATCCGGCTGCCATGCGGTAGTTTGCTCTGGGGCAAACAGCTACGCCTCCCCCCCGCGATATCCGGCCCATGTAACCGGGGCCACTGTATGCTGGTGTTCTTTTTGGCTGTGGAGACTTTGAAGCTTCTCAGAGTCAACTTAAGCAACTGTAGTGTGGAAAGGGACTGTGGCTCAGTGGTAAAGCATCTGCTTTGCATACAGAGGGTCCCAGGTTCAGTCCCCAGAATCTCTAGTTAAAATGGTCTTACTGAGGCCATGGAAAGCTGCTGCTAGTCAGAGAAGACAATACTGGCATTGATAGACAAGTGGTATAAAGCAGCTTCATGTGTAGATTTACAATTTGCAATTATTTCTGCCATTTCATTTAGTGTTCTTTTCTTGCAAGAAACAATGACAAATGAAGCGAATGACTGATAGATTATCCATTTGGCAAATTCTTTGGTCTGTTTCAGAATAGGAAACAATACATAGTGCTAAATAGGGAGCACCATATGTTGAAAAGTCACTTGTTAATCACCATAAGGACGTTTATGCTTTTAATTCCAGCTCCCAATCCTTGTGCTGCTAACAATGGCAGAGGCCCATGCTCTCATATGTGCCTAATCAATCACAACAGAAGTGCGGCATGTGCATGTCCTCACCTAATGAAGCTGTCTGCAGACAGGAAGATGTGCTATGGTAAGTTTCTTTCCCCTCTCTTTAATACTTATTTTCTCCTGCTGTTATTTGTTTAAAAATTTTAAATAGGGATACTGCAGAAGTCCTATGCAAAGCTATTTGCTGATAACTCTTGACAGTACCTCTTGCTACACATGAACCCCATAGCTTGTTCCAGTGTATTCAGCTTCTGAAGCTTTGATGTGTACTGCTTCCCCCCCACCCCAATTGCAGATGTGTATAGTGTGTTTGCAGACCTTGTCTCTACAGAACAGGGAGATTTGCAAGTGAAAAGGGCATCCCCAGAAAATGATGATGCAGGTAAACTGCACAATAAAAAGTACTTTTAATTTCTACTTGCTCTTCTTCTGAAGTCATCTTAACATCATTGTGGGTCTTAAGAACTAGTTCATAAAGCAGACAGCCTCTCAGGAGAATAAACATATTAGAACTAGTAGATAATAGATGCAGAAATAATTCTCAAGCTTTCTGCTTTCAAACAAGTATAAAAAGTTTTATGTTTTTATTATGTGTGGATCTGACCAGCATTTCCACTGGGGAGAGAGCTTTAACCCCCCCCCCCCCGGGAAAGCTTGGAAATACAAGGCATAGGAGTGGGTTGAAACAAGAGTATTTAAACTGTTGGAACCTGCTGATTACTATGTACCTATTAAATAGCCTCTTTTATTCTTTTAGAAATGAAGACCTTTCTTCTTTATGCACGCCGTACAGAAATAAGAGGGGTTGACATAGAGAACCCATACTTCAATTATATAACAGCCTTCACGGTTCCTGATATTGATGATGTAACAGTTGTGGATTTTGATGCATCAGAGGAACGTTTATACTGGACTGATATAAAGACTCAAACTATAAAACGAGCCTTCATTAATGGCACTGGCTTAGAAACTGTCATCTCAAGAGGTAAAGCTTAGAAACTGTCATCTTCAGAGTGTGTGTATATATGTACACACACTCACTCTCTCTCTCTCTGTATCTCTTTTTAATTCTGTTAAGTATGACAATATTAATTTCTGGTTTTTTATGTTGCAAACAAAAATTGTATATTCACACTATAGATTTAAAATAGTTAATTCCTTAAACTTAATCTACAGGGTCTTGGGAACTTTAGTCTGAACATTCACAAACCAAGGACATTCTGTGGAATAATCTTAGCACTTCCACCAAATTATAATTCTCAGGATTATTTTGGGGAAATTGTGACATTTAAACAGGTATAAAATCAGTTTGTAGTACTGATGTTTCCCAACAGAATCTTAAAAGTTTGGGGTACATTGCTCTGAAGGGCTTGATTTTTAAAAACAAATTTGACTCTGTAAATCATAGTAGCAATCTAGAAAAGTTAACGTGTAAATACCATGTAGTTAAGATAACTTATTTGCCTTTCAAACTGCCTGCTGAAGAGATTTGCCTCCCTGAGTTCCTCGTGCTCACAGTTCATAGTGCCCAAGCTAATATCTGGAATTCTTATGCAGTTTCTCACATTCTTCACTAAACTAATGTCCTGCAATCAGCACTGTTTTATTACTGATGTATGAAAAGCAATGCAGGGCTAGAAAGTGTAGCAAATATTTTATTAGAATTTTGTTTATTATAATTTCAGTGTTTATATGGTGCTATATATTTTCAGCCTAAACGACTGACCTGAGATAATGTTTGAAACCAGAGTTTACCCTGTTTAAAACAATAGAGATGAAATAGCATCCTTGTAACTGTTGATAAGAAATTGCAATCCTTTTGAAGATGTGTTATATTTTGGAAAGAGAAGAAGCTTAACTAAAAAATTTAAATGTACTAGAAGACCAATTTGAGCAAGTATTTTGTTGTTTTATGTTTTGCAGACATTCAGAGTATTCGTGGACTGGCTGTAGATTGGTTATCACGTAATTTATACTGGATAAGTTCAGAATTTGATGAAACACAAATTAACGTAGCACGTTTAGATGGCTCATTAAAAACATCAGTTATACATGGAATTGATAAACCACAGTGTCTTGCTGTTCACCCAGCTAAAGGGTAAAGTGTATATATTTTCAACAGTAGAGTTATAATATTTTAAGCCTGAACAGGACACTTGTGGCACCTTAACAACTAACAAAATGTTATTCCAGCATCAGCATTCAAGGACTATACTACTTCAAGTGCAAAGAGTGCTTACTGGGTCATGAAAGGTAGCAAGAAATGTAATTATATAATCATTAAACGTAATCATTGGCCAAGTTCAGACTGGCAGTTTGGCCCGGCAGCCAAACATTTCAGGAGCGTTTCAGTAGCGGATTAAAGGGGCGGGTTCACACAGGCACATCTTTCAGGTGTCCCCCAGCCGTACTCAAGCTGTCTTGTGCCACTTCCCTCCCGAGTTTAAAAAGTACCAGGTGAAAGTGGTAGCAAACCATGTGTAGAGCGGGTTGATTCTGGTTCCCTGAGTGTGAACACAAGCGCTGCTAAGGTGGGAACAACCCACAGTCATTGATAATAGGCGCTGGCTGTTTCCGCGGCAGGCACCCATGCGCCCATGCACATAGGCGTGTGCAGTGGAGCACAGAAACAGCTGCTAACAGCCCGCCAGGGGCCGGCCGACAGTATGAACGCTCCCTTGCACTTCCTCCACGGTATCCTCCCGCTTCATTCGCTGCAGTGTGAACAGGTATACCGCAACCAAGCTGTTCCGGGTCTGTTCCGGGTCTTCTTTGCCACGACTCCCTAGTACTTCAAATTGCCAGTCTGAACTCAGCCATTGCTAAGATAGTTAACACTGGTAATGTGTAGGAAGTCTGGCATTTTGATCAGATGTTTGTTTTTAATCTCAATAGAAGTATGAATGAACTATTTTAGCAAGACCTGGGTATTAACTAACTTAGCAATGAACATTCTTTGTATTACAAGTCCTAACTTGTCAGCTAATGATCTTTGTATTACAGATGTTAGCTGGTTTGGTAAAATTTTGTCAGACCTCTTCTCTTAACCAAAGGAAGAGGATAGTCAGAACAAAATGCTTTAGAATCTACACTTGAGTCTAAATACTTGCAAATTGTGTTGGTAAGAGAGGTAGATGGAGACAATTTTGCCTGATTCTCCCTCCTTACTATAGTCTCCCCCTTGTCCCATGACATTGTCTCCATGACACACCCTAGCTCACAGCATGAGCTTAGGGGAACACATATGGGCCTGCTAGGGGAAGTCAGGAAAGATCAGCAAATGCTTGCAGTTTGTAGGATCCATCCCAAAGAAAATATGGTTTTTGTCATGCTTAAAACTTTAATGTACAAACTATATATTGGTATATAATCTACCATAGATTTTTATATATTTCTACTGTGTTTTTTGCATCTGTGTGCGTCTGACTATGAAACGGAAAATTAAGGCATAACATATGTAGTGCAGATGTGCAAACTACAATACAGCCAGTACTGTTTTAGTATGCTTTCTATGGCTAGGTTTTCGAAGTGTGTTAAAACTTTAAATTAATACTGCTATGTTGTCTTCCCTTCTGTTTTTCTTAAGAAAGCTTTATTGGACTGATGGAAATACAATTAATGTGGCAAATATGGATGGCAGCAACATCAAAATACTATGTCAGAATCAGAAAGATCCAGTTGGTAAATAAATATAATTATTTTTACATATATCTTTAAAATAAAAGCTAAGTAATATTAGTATTGATAGTACGCAGATGGTAAGAAAAAGTGGTTCAAAAGTTAGATAAACCTTCTGTTTTTGTTACATTACTGAGAATGAAAAAACAGAGAGTGGGGGATTGTCAAGTAAGTGGAATGCCAAAATAAATGGCTGTTATGGTGTTCTTGTCTGAGAGGGGTATGTCACAAGAGACCATGTCATAGATACTTGTATCTGGCTTATATCCTCCTTTGGTATAGTATTATATAATCAAAATTTCAGTGTGGTATTTGTTTGTGATCTCTGAAGTTCTGTTCATTTATAAATCTACAAGTTAAGCAAGGATCCTGTATAGGGTGAGATATATAGAAATAACTGCAGAGGAAACAGAAATATCAGTTCAGCGTCCCAAAATCCTAAGCAGCTCTTAGCACACCAAATTCTATTTTTAAAGTTCTAAATTTCCTCCTAAAATATATTCAAATGCATAGCCAGAACATTCTATGGTGAAGGGGGCATGAGTACATTGAGTGAGAGCTAGGGTTGTCTGGTCCAGAAATGTCATTGGGTATGTCCTCGTGGTGTCACATGAAAAAGTTGTATTAATTGTAGCACCTTACACACACCACTTGGCATCTACTACATGGTATTGGTAGCTCACAAGGGCTGCGGTGGCTGAAGTGGTTGGTCCAGAAATGGGTATGTCCTCGTGGTGTCGCATGAAAAAGTTGTATTAATAGTAGCACCTTACACACGGCATCTACTACATGGTATTGGTTGCTCACAAGGGCTGCGGTGGCTGAAGTGGTTAAGACACTGAACTGCAGACCAGTAGTTCAGCAGTTCGAGACCCGAGTGTCGCATGACTGAGTGAGCTCCGGTCTTCTGGCCCCAGCTCCTGACAACCTAGCAGTTTGAAAGCAGGAAATTGCAAGTAGATAAATAGGTACCACTTCAGTGGGAAGGTAACAGCATTCCATGCACCTCAGCATCTAGTCATGCCGGCCACATGACCACGGAAACATCTTTGGAGAGCGCTGGCTCTTCAGCTTGGAAATGGAAATGAGCACCACATCCCTAGAGTTGGATTTGACTGGCTTTTGAGCAAGAGAAACCTTTACCTTTACCTATTCGTATGTAGTCAAAGGTATGTGTGTGTGAAAAGGTGGGATATTTACCAGAATTAAATAAAAAATAAATAAAAATAATATGGACATTAACTAAGTGCTGATTGTAAAATACAGTTGAACTTATACTGCCAATTATTGTATCCCATTTCTAGTTTACATGTGCAGTAGTTAGCACAAGCAGGCATGTGTAGGAGTCTTTGATGAAGCCATATTTTTGCAATATGGGGCACCATCAGCTATCCAGGGAAAAGTTATATTTTTATGATTGTACTAGGAGACATTTTTTACTTAATTAGTGTACCTACATTCTTTTCTCAAGACATGTAGCAGAGCATAAGGTAGGGTTCAAGACTCTGTTGGGAAGGATGAGGCTGGGAGAGACAGTAATCAGTCAGTGATGAGTAGAGCAATCCTGTGTTCCACCTGTGCTGCAGCAGCTGGCCATGGCACAGCTGTGGCGCCTGTAAAGTACTGGGTTTGCACATAGAGACTCGGACTACGACATGCTAACTAGGCGCGTTTATTGTACTTTACAACAAGAGAACACACATGGCCCGGCAAGGGCCAACTGTATACACTCGACCCGGGCACACCCACAGTTCCATTGGGGGGTTTGAATTTCCCTCCAAGGTCCTATTGGAGGACTCAGGGGGGTCTAGGATCCTTGGTCCCTATTGTGTTTGGAACCAAGCTAAGGACTGAGGCCTCAGACCCCTAGTGGCGGTCCACGGACATAACAGTGCCACTAGTCACCTCCTTCAGGGGACAGTTGTGCAGCAGCCAAATGGGGGGAAAGATGCCCCAACAGTGTTGCCGGGTGCTGCCGTGGCGGCATCCATGGCGATCCTGACAGAGTGTTCCGTTCCAGTGTTGTTACAAGGTGGGGGTGGTGTGATAGGTCAGGCAGGACCAATGGGAGCCATGAGTCCAGGAGGCCAAGACAAGTGTCCATCACTGGCAGGGGGCGGAGAGGGGCATGCCATAGGAGCAATGCTATTCCTCTGCCCCATACCACCCCTTAAAGAGACCAGCTCCTGTCACAAGCCCCGGCCACCTGTCAGTGAGGAGAGAGGCATCACCTGTAAGCCTTGTAGGCACCCCATGGTGGCACTCTGCACCCCCAGTGGGGGATGATGAACAAGAACATGGATGTGAGGGTGTCCCCCACTAACCGCTGGCCGTGGCAGCCACATGGGTGCCCACACCATTGAGGTTATCCCCATGCCAACCTGAGTGCCACTCCTGCTGGAGACACAGGAGAAGGGGCACGGGTGTCAGGGAGGCTTGGAGAGACTCTGAGAGCAGTGTCTCAGTGTTTCCTCACCTGCATCCCTTGCTACAGCAAGAAGCCCCTCCAGGTGCCTGGAAGCTGCCATTACAGGTGCTGCCAGCCCCTCCATCCATTGCTGTCCCCTGGAAAAGGCTTCCTGTCAGTCACAACAGCTCTCCAGACTTTCACAAGGAGGAAGGGGTGGGTGGGATGGGCTGTGCCGGAGAAGGGTCTTTTGACTGGGGACTTAGCAAGTGGCTAGAATCCCCTCTCCCGTGGGGCACCAGCAGCCACATCCCCTGGGCTGCAGGTGGCCAGGTACAGGGCTTGGCTGGAGCTAGAGTTATGTCCCCATGGCCCTCCAAGCTCTGGTCATTTGTTTATATCCATCCTTGGTTATACGTCCCTCATTCAATTTCCTAAACGAGTCTTCTTTATTTCTCAAATCATTAGAAAGCCGATAATGGAGCCTCTATGGCTTCTTTAGGCGCCTCCCATTTTCCCTTCTCTAAGAAAACATTTGTGATTGTGCCTTCAATATTTCACTTTTAAGAAACTCCCACTCCTCTTGAACTCCCTTCTCCTTAAGTATTTCTGACAATGGGATCCTACCCAGGATACCTTTAAGTCTGTTAAGTTTGTTAACTTTAAGTTTGTTGTATTAGGCAAGCTTGAAATTAGAGACCTGGATCTTACAGAAAGACAAAAAGAGTAAATTTATAAAAGGAATACTTGCAGTCTTTATCTTCTTGCTGCAGTCCTGTGTTGCTTGCAAAACCACTAATAGGGTTCTCACAACTGTTGGAAATGTTACTGTATTGCCACATGGGGATCTAGTCAGAAGGAATGGAAGATTGGCTCCTCCTTCTTGCGGCATGAAATACAAGACTTGTTTTAATGGTCTTTTCCATGGCTGGACTGCAAAACTAAGTCTGTACTCATAATGAAAATGTTGAAGCTCTTACTGCATATTAAGTCCCACTTGTAATTTCAGATTCAGTGCTGAAGATATTCCCAACTGAATATGTTTCTTTTGTTTATATTTAAAAGATATGTACCGCAAGCAAGCAAAATCATATTGTTCAATTTACTTGTGCATGTTGGAAGTAATTTTGTTTTTAGTTACACAAATTTTCTAGTCTTTATGAGTGCCATAGGTGTAATCTTCGTGGGGGCGGCGGGGCATCAGCCCCCGCCGCAACATTGTTCAATTTACTTGTGCATGTTGGAAGTAATTTTGTTTTTAGTTACACAAATTTTCTAGTCTTTATGAGTGCCATTCCCAATCTTAATGATTAAAAAGTGGGGGGAAACCAGAATATGTGCAGAAAAAAGAGAAAGGATGGAGATAACTCCTCTGACCACTGCTTAGTGCAGTGCTCTCCAGATAATAACAGTATACCAGCTATGTTTCAGATTAGAATATTCTCATTGAAATGTCACCATTTGAGGGAACACCCATTTCAACATCCTCTCTTTTAATCTCTAGATTCCCTCTTTTTTATCTATAAAACATAATTTCTGTTTTTCCAATGACACTTCGTATGATGAAGAAGAAGAAGAAAGAAGAAGAAGAAGAAGAAGAGATTGGATTTATACCC